GTGTGTGTGTGGTACTGGGGATTGAACTCAGGACCCTGCACTTGCCAGGTAGGTGCTTATTCTACTAAGCTATCTCCCTGGCCCCCAGTTAAATCTCAACAAGCATCCCAAAGGCTACAAAGGCCACTGTTACATGATATATATGTCTCCTCGCTTTTCCCAGTAATGAGAGTATTTCCATTTATAGAAAATGACATTTTGGTGAATGTAAGATTTTAACTGAGCCTGGGAATGTTGCTCAGTGGTAGCATACTTGCCTTGCATATAGGACTCCTGTGCACCATCACCACACACACACACACACACACACACACACACACACACACCCCTTAAAAAAAGAAAAGAATTTAAGAGAGGACGTCCTAAGATTGAGATACTGTAGATTAAGAAAAACTGCTCTGGGGTCAGGGAGATGGCTCAGTAGACTAATCACTTCCCTGGCAAGCACAAGGGTCTGAGTTCAGTCCCCGGTTCTGCAAAAACAAAAAAACAAAAAACAAAAAAAAACAAGAAAAAGGAAAAATTGCTCTAAATATTACTGCAAGAATATTGGCCTCAGACTTCTAAGCTTTAAAGCCCAACAAGTTAGTTCTAGGAAAATAAAAAACCTCCTTTAGCTTCACCGTCTCCATTTGCAAAATGGGGATAAAACCTGTCCTCTCCCCTCATGGGATTATGAGGAGAATCAAATAAAGTATTAAAAAAACAAAAAATTCTGGTCAAGGTGAGAAAAAGCAGGGTCTTTTTGAGATAGGGTCTCACTAAGCAGTTCAGGTTGGCCTGGAGCTCACTTTGTAGCCCAGGCTGGTCTTGAACTCACAACAATGCTCCTGTCTCAGACTCCCAAGCACTGGGATTACAGGTATGTGCCACCACACCTGGCAGGGTCCACATTAATGCCCAAGGGCAGCTCTTCAAGAAATAAAACTGCCAGTTCAAGAGATAGTAAATCACATAATCAAAAGATTTTCAGAGTAAAGTCTATCTTTGAGTTGAAACGAAATGCTGAAAGACAAGGGAAAAAAAGAAAAGCCTTCTGATGAAAATCAGTGTCTCTGAAGTCAACATTAGGTAGGCAGGTAAAAGAAAATAAATAAAATGTCCAGGGACTGGGGAGATAGCTCTGTACCAAATAAATAAATAGGATTTTAAAAAATAAATAAATAAATAAAATGACCAAAATAAAGTTTACTAAAGATGAAATCCTGAGAATTTACCCTTAGGCAGCAAAGTGCATCATGGCTTTCAAGTGTTGAGGGTTACTATAGTGTATGAACAGAAGAGCTGACAGTGAAAAGAGAATGCCTTCCTCTTTTCCTGATGTAGCTAATACTTCCATAGTCCCTTGCTGAATTTTCTTTTAACAAAATTCTACCCCCATCTAAAAGAGAAGGAACAGGGCTATGTTAATGGTGGAAGGAGAAGGGGAGCTAGCAGTGTAGCTCAGTGGTAGTGAGTCAAGAGATTTAGCACATGGCAAAGCTGGCTGGGGAAGCAGGCATGGCCTATTAATTACAAAATCCCCATACATATACAGAACAACTTCCAAAATCCTATACATGGACTTCTCAGGATAATTCAAGCAGATTTTCAATAGGATGGCCTAGAACTGACTTCAGCCTGTGATGTGGGATTCAAACACTGCTTTTCAGGACCCTTATGTAGAATTTCTCAGATTTCCTTGAGATATGGACAATATTAAGGACACACTGATGCTATGAAGAGTATGAAGAGCTTGCTATCCCAACTTTCCACAATAGTCCATTCTGTGTTTCCCAGACAGTGTGTACTTTCACCTTTGCTCTTACCCTATTTTTCTCTTTACTTGGCCCAAACTCACTCTGCAGTCATTTCTCCCCAGCTCTTCACTTTTATTTTATTTTTATTTATTTATTTTTTTGCTGAACCAGGGATTGAACTCAGGCCCTTGTGTTTGCCAGGCAAGCACTTATTCCACTGAGCCATTTCCCTGGCCCCACTTTTATTTTCTTGAATAAACTTGACCATTGTTTTTGCCTGTTTTGTTTAGTTCTTTGAGATGAGAAGAACCTGGAATCTAACTCCAGAGGGAGAAGTGAGCAACCCAAAACCCGGTATTTAGTTGGTGAGCCACTTTTAGAAGTAGGTTACCCAGTAGAGCCCTTGCCTAGCATGTGCAGGGATGGGGACTGATTTTCTGCGCTGCAGAGAAGAGAGAGGTACAGACCGACAAAGGCAAAGACAGAGACTGAAGGAAATACATAAACAGAGAGAGACAGATAGACAAAGAAATGGGGGGGGGGGCGGCTCATGCTTAGTCCAACCAACATAGTGTTTTAGTGAAACCCTGTCTCAAATATTTAAGAAGAACTAGTGAAGAAGCTAAATGTGAAGGCCCTCGATTCAATATCAAGTAGTACATTAAAAAAAAAAGCAAAAACAACAGTGAAAGAGATAGAGAGTAATGACATTTATCTTGTCTCAACTAATGCTGAAATTTGTAAGCAACTATGGCTATCACCTGGCAACATAAATGGGAAATTGAAATGCCTAAGGAAGCAACCAAGGAAGGAAAGAACAGGAATAGGGCGAGACTTTATAGCCCACAATCCATGCTGGGATTAAAACTTTGCAATAATAACTATCAGTGAATATACAGGTCAATCAAAATAGCTGACAAGGACAACCATTTCATTTTTAGAAAATCTCTATCAAGTATATTTAAGTAAGTCCATCCAGCTCAGCAGCATAAGTGCCTGCCTGGTAAATGCACGGTCCTAAATTCTATCCCCAGTACAAAAATAAATAAGTAAGTAAGTAGGTAAGTAAGTTCCATCTGCACAATGTAAAATATTGACATGATGCCAATTGTTTTCAATTTTTATTCATATGCACTATAATTGAGTATTCTGATGGAAATGAAAAGATTTTGAGATATATTTTCTAGGTAACCTACCTGCAACTGCATGACCACATAGTTGAATCGATCATTCCTCCCACAGCCAATAAATCTACAAACATGGTCTTTCCCTGGGTAAAAGAGAAAAAGAAAGAATATAGTGGAAAAGAATACACTATACTTTTTTTTCTAAAAAAATTAACTTTTTTCTATATAGTATTTTATAACTTAATATAAAAATATGATGAGATCTTAAAGATAGGAAATTTCTATCATTCAAAATATTTAACCATCCACTCCCCAGGTCCTGTACTGTTCCTTATGTACTCAAATAAATATTTATTGAATTAATAAATAAAAGATGAACAAGGGAACAAATAAAAGGTTAATTAAAAGTAAAGATTCAGAAGTCATTTCAGATCAGTAGCTCAAATATAACCCACATGGAAGGACAGAAGAACAATAAATAAGAACTGTGTCAGAAATATGAATCTACATTTTAATTTGTTCTCACTGTTCAAGAGGAGGTCTCAAAAGAAAGGAAAACGACAAGGTCTCTGTAGTCTAGGCTAGCTGGATTTTGATATGTAGCTTGGGCTGGCATCAAACTCATGTTTCTCCTGCCAGCTTCCCGAGTTCTTAGATTGTAGATGTGCACTACCACTGAATTCTAGATTCTGCCACACTCCTTATTACATGATTTCAACAAGTCTTACATCTTTCTGGGCCTCATTTATTTGGACAAGCTCAGTAGTTTTCAACCTGAGTCACAAGTATGAAATTCAAAGATGTGTTGGCTGGGAAATAAAGATCATGCTGGAAGTGTAGCTCAAGTGTGAAAACCTTGGGTTAGGTTCAATCTCTGGTACAAAATAAACCAGCTAGCCATGGAGGCACACACCAGTAGGCCCAGCACTCTAAGAGTCTCAGGTAGGAGGATTGGATATTCAACCCAACCAGACAACTTAAAGACTTAGTGAAACCAGGCATTGTGGTGCATAGCTATAATCCCAGAACTCAAGAGGCTTTGGCAGGACATCAACACCCTAATCTGAACAGTGTAGTGATACCCTGTCTTAAAAAACTAAAATCGGGACCCGAGAGATGGCTCAATGAAATAAGCGCTTCCCTGGCAAGCACAAGGGCCTGAGTTCAATCCCCGGTTCCACAAAAAAATGAAACAAAACAAAACAAAAACCTAAAATCAAAACCAAAACCAAAAACACCAAAGGAATTTAAGGCACTTATAAAAGTCAGTGTTTCCATCAACCTTGACTATCTGGTAAGTTTTTTAAAGATCCCTAAATTCTAAACCAGGTGTAGCAGCACAACACCTGTAATCAAAGCACTCTGGGAGGCTAAGGAGGATGGCAAATTCAACCCCTTCCAGGGCAATTTAGTGACTGAAACTCTGCCTCATATTAAACATTTTTTTAAAAAATGGGCTGGGGATATAGCTTAGTGAAAAGGCCCTAACATTTGATTGCAGGAATTTAGATTCCTAAATTCCATACTGCTCTGGACTGATTATAGAATATGAACATTTGAAAATGCTCTAAATGATAAACTTAATTTAAAAAAAGAAAAAAGTTCTCTAAATGATGTAAGAGCAGGCAGGACATAGATATGTGAAAGTACTGCTGAGTAATAAGAATCACCAAAAAAAAATTTTTTTTTATATTTTATTTTTTAATTTTATGTATTTGGTACAGGGTCTCATTATGCAGCTCAGACTTGTAGTGATCCTCCTATTTCAGCCTCCCTAGCACTGGGATTACAGGCATGCGTCACTACACTGGATCTTGGGGGACGGTGCCAGTATGGCATGTGGTGCTAGGATCGAACCTGGGTCCTTGCGCTTACCTAGGCAGGTACTTAAACCACTGAGCTATCTCCGCTGTCCACCAAAAAATATTTTTAGAAAAAGAATTACATACTACAACAATACATTTTAGAATATCACTCTGATGCCAATGAAAATAACAGACTATATAAAAGCCAATCTAAAAAAAAAAAAAAGCGAATCTGGAGACAGAAAGGTTAGAGACAGGAAGGTCACAATATCCTGCAGAAGACAAGAATAGTACAAGAGGTGATTGAAAATATGCTGAATTTTTCAATTAGCAATAATTGCGCCTCGGATAAACTCATTGGCTACGATACTGCCACTGTGCAAAGCTCATACGCTGAATTTTTTAGGGTTCTTTTTTTTTTTTTGAGACAGGATCTCACTATGTAGTTCAAATAGCCTTGAACTCACTATGTAGCCCACACTGGCCTTGAACTCAGCAGTCCTCCTGCCTCAGTCTTCTGAGTGCTGAGGTTACGTGTGTAGCACTGTGCCTGGATCTGAATATTTAAATTTTAAAAATTATTATAGTTAAATTGGCATTAATTTCCCCTCAAGATACACTCTACCCCTTTCAAAAACAAATATCCCAGTGTTCTTGCTACTCTCTGAAACAATTCTGTAAATCTGAAGTGTCTATACAAGGTATGCTAAAAAAAACTGAATGCAATGGCAAGGCAGGTTTATAAAACTAAGAGCATCTTTATCCACTTATTCACCAGATCTAGGTACCTGCAATTTCAGGATCTTTCCCAAAGTCAAAATGATAATGAAAAATATATTTTTTGAATCAACTTAGGACACTGAGACAGCCACAAAAGCACAACTAAAGATACTCACCAAAAAGTATTTCCAGAAGTGCTTTAGAAAGTATCAAGAATGATGGATTGTGTTCAAAGCTAAGGGAAAGTATTTTGAGGGGGATTTGTAGCAATGTCTTTAATTGTAATAATTTCTTATTAGAACATATTTTTCCAAAACAGCATGAATTATAAAAAAAAAAGAACAGATAATAGAGTAAGTCTGAGAAATATGACAGATGTAGGTTTGCTTTTTTTTGTGGGGGAGTACCAGGGATCGAACTCAGGACCTTGTGCTTGCCAGGCAGGTGCTTATGCCACTGAGCTATCCATATCCCTGGCCCCCATTGATGTAGGTTTGTACCAGAAATCGATACAATTAAGTGAAGTTTTATACCAAAATAAGGCAATCTAGAGGTTGTATAGGTATTATTATTATTATTATTATTATTATTATTATTTAAAGGATATTAGAATATTGAGATCAAGGATGGTAGAATTGAGTAAATATAATTTCAGGCACAGTACTAAGACACAAAGACCAAGCTCCAGACATATCTCAGGAAAGCATTACTGTGGAGGACAGAAGCACAAACACAGATGGATGAAAAATAAAAAGAAAGTTTTAGCATATAATTCTGGAAAATTCATGAGCAAAACTAAAAAGCAGCCTCAAGGAAACAGGAACAACCTAAGAGCCAGGAGGAAACTCTGAGAAAGAACAGTTTATGAGGGCTGGTGAGATGGCTCAGTGGTCTAAAGCACCTTAGAACAAGCTTAGCAAAAACAAAGGGACCGCAGTTCAATCCCCCAGCACCACATGCCAGCCAGCCCCGCCCCCTGGTGGGCTGAGCTGGCCACACACACAAATAAAAAAAAGAAAGAAAGAAAGAAAACAACAACAACAACAACAACAACAACAACAAAAAACAGTTTATAAGGCTGGAAGTGATGTGAAGTGCCCACTGATAAACAGGATTAGGAACCCATGAGTGCATGAAAGGGGCAAAAGATTCTTTTTTTTTTAAAGCAGAATACATTTATTGGGGGAAAGAAAGCTCCTGTCTGAAAGACAAAGGGGGACCTGAGTCTTGCTTGCTTTGTCTTTTTGAGACAAGGTCTCGCTATGCAGTTCTGGCTGGCCTTCAGTTCACTTTGTAGCCCAGGCTGGTCTTTTACTCACAAGGATCTTCCTCCTCAGCCTCAAGTGTTGGGATTATAGACATGTGCCAGAAGGCCTGGCTCAGAAGCTAGTTTTTAATGGGGTAAAAGAATAAATGGGGGGCTGGTGAGATGGCTCAGTGGTCTAAAGCACCTCCTTAGAACAAGCTTAACAAAGCACAGGGACCGCGGTTCAATCCCCCAGCACCACATGCCAGCCAGCCCCGCCCCCTGGTGGGCTGAGTTGGCCACACACACACACACACACACACACACACACAAATAAAATAAATTAAAAAAAAAAAGAGTAAATGGGGCTGGGTGTGGTATGGTATATACCTATAATCTCAGCATTTGGGAGGCTAAGGCAGGACTATCATCACAAGTTTAAGGCCAGCCAAGACCACTACATTGCAAGACCTTGTCTCAAAAAAAAAATGGTCAATGGAATGACACAATGAAGGTAGACACTTTTGAGTACATTTGCTTATAAAACAAGGAATAGTGTCAGGGCTGTAGCTATCAGGTCAACATTTGGTAGACTGATGAAATTCATCAAACACATTTCAAAAACTCTGTCCAAAGACTGACTTCAAATATAGAGGGCCAGGGATATAGCTCAGTGGCATAGCACCTTCCTGGCAAGCACAAGGTCTTGAGTTTTGATTCCCAGTAGCAAAAGAAGAAAATTATAATAAAATTATATGATAGATAGATAAGATAGATAAATAGATTACATATATATCATTTTAAGCTAAGCACAGTAGAGCATGCCTGTAATCCCAGAATTTGGGAGCCTGACAAAGGAGGATTGCAGTGAGTTAAAGCAAGACCCTGTCTTGGGGAAAAAAAAAAAAAAAAAAAAAAAAAAAAATCTAAACTAAAAAAACAAAACTGGAAAAAAAAAAAAACCCATCTTTTTTTTTGGTGGAACCGGGAATTGAACTCAGACCCTTGCATTTGCAGGGAAACGCTTATTCCACTGAGCCATCTCCCCAGCCCCACCCCTTCATTTTAGTTAATAATTCCAAATTTTCTTTTGTGTATCTGGGTTATTAACTACTAATATAGGGGAATGAAACTCCCAACCTGAAAGGTACCTGGGATGAGTTTGTGTTCTCTAAAACCAAAGAATAAATTTTAGGAACAAATGGAGGTTAAGAGCAGAATATTGGGGGAAAGAAAGCTTCTGTCCAAGAGAGGGACAGAAGGGAGACCTGAGTGAGTTGCCCCCAGGAAACTGTCTTCCAGGGATTTTTACAGAGTAAAACCATGCAGTGAGGTGGATCTGAGGTGAAGAATACAGGAATTTGCTTAGGTGGGCATGAGGTGAGACAAAACTATGGCCAACCAATGAGATTATAACACCATTGCTCAGGTAAAGTTGATTAAGTCCAGGACCAAAAGAGGAACCAAGCCACAGGACCAGGGTCTCTTCCTGTGGGTGTCTGGGTTAGTGACTCTTTGGGCTTTTTTCAAGGTGACTGATACTTAGAATATCAATTCCTGATGCTCATCCCTAGGGAGGTATGTGGCTGCATTGGTTTACTCTTTTGTCTTAAGATTTGGCCTATACCAGTAGTGTCTGTCTCTTCCAACTTGCAAAGTCACCTTGTCTTCCATACTGTCTCCCTGAAGGCCTAGTCCTGTCTGACTGCCTATGATATTTCTATCTAATTTAGCTGCCTACAATATTCCACCCTCTGAAGAAGTAACCCGGAACTTCTGTGAGAGAACAATGGGTGATGACTGCTCTGGCTTCTTCAGGCTGAATGGAGTCATAGTTGCTGAGACCGGGAATCAGACATACTCTCCAGCGTTCTATCTAAAGGCCCCCAATAGACAGCAGACATTTTTTCTTGGGTAGACATAACTTTAAATCTGGAGGAGACAAAGCCAAAGAAACAATTAAACATGCATGAGCCAGAAAAGAAAAGGATAATTATGAATATAAAAGATTTTTCACGAAGGAGACAGTAATGATGTCCACAAAGATGATAAAGATAGGGTCCAGGGGACCCCAGCATCTTACATGCCACTGACTTGATATCTGATTTTTTTTTTTTTTTCTGTATTTTTCTGTATTTAGGTCAGGGTCTACAGGGTCTCACTATGTAGATCAGACTCATAGTGATCCTCCCATTTTCAGCCTTCCAAGTGCTGGGATTACAGGCACACACCACCATGCCCAATCTCAATTGCTGTCTCAGCATGCACAGCATGCTGGGGATTGAACCCTGACCACTGTGCTCTGCCTAAGCAGGTGCTTTAGTCCGCTGAGCTATCAGGCAGACCCTGATATCTAATATTTTCTCTTTTTTTTGTGGAACTGGGGATTGAACTCAGGCCCTTGAGCTTGCCTGGGAAGTGTTTATTCCACTGAGCCATCTCCCCGGCTCCTATCTAATATTTTCAAGAGCTACTGAGACATTAGTGTCATAGGCAGCTGAATTAGACAGAAATATTATAGGCAGTCAGACAGGAATAGGCCCTTAATGAGACAATATGGAAGACAAGGTGACTTTGCAACTTTGGAAGAGACAGACACTTTCCACTGTGGGCCAGACCTCAACACAAAAGAATAAACAAATGTAGCCACGTACTTCCCTAGGAATGGGCATCAGTGATTGACATGCTAAATAAGTATCAATCACCTTAAAAGAGAGGAAGAGACCATGTTCCATATTCATTCCCACTTCCCCATTTGATTCTGATTTAAGCAATTTTACCTGAGCAATGGTGCTTGTAATCCCATTGGCTGACCATAGTTTTGTTCCACCTCATGTCTACCTAAGCGAGTTCCCATGTTCTCCATCACCACAGACCTGCCTCACCACATGGTTTTACTCTATAAAAAGTCCCTAGAAGAGATAGCTTCCTGGGGACAACCCGACTGGACTCCCCTCTTTGGTTGCTCTTTTAGACAGAAGCTTTCTTTCCCCCAATAAATACATTCTGCTCATAACCTCTGTTTATTTCTAAAATTCATCCTTTGGTTTTAGAGAACAAAAACTCATTGCAGGTACCTTTCAGGTTGAGAGTTTCATTTCCCCCTTTACCATTAGCAGAAGGATCTGGAATGTAATAACCTTTTTAAAGTTTTAGCAGAGATAGCTTATTAAATGTGGGGCTTAATCCCTTTATCTTCCATGGCTGCTGGGTATTGTCTCAAATAAACTGGCCAACTATTATTACTGAGGGCACATGAATTGTCAAGTGTAGGGAAAACAGTGAGTACTCTTCAGTTTGCAAGTGGGTCCAATGGCTAGGTTACTGACAAATCTGCAGGAGTATCTATCAAAAGTTTAATAGGTGTTTTCTTTATACTGGCAGTAACATGGGTTCCCTCAGACTGAGAGGTGAAGACCTA